CTGGCGCACTGCGCACTGCAAAGAGGCACACCGCATCTCGCACTGCGCACTGCGCACCGATGGGCGCGCACTGCGCGCGCACTAATGCGCGCATGGCAGGGTGGCGCACAGCGCGTTGCGCACCGCACCGCATCGCGCACCGCACCAATGCGCCGCAAGTATGGTACAGATGCAGTTTTCCCTTCTTACCTACTTTTTTCCTCTTCAGCCTGCGCCCTCTCTCGTTTTTACTTTTTTTTTTTTTTTTAACCAACGTGGCCCAATAGACTACAGATCAGATGGGCATTTTTTTTTCTTTTTTCTTTATTCTTTTCTTTTTGCTGGGAGGGGGGGCGTGCATTTCTCGATTTATGCGTGGCATCCTTGTGCAGGGGTCATGCTAATCTTCTTTCTCTTAGAAGGGGTAGAAGAGGAAGTAGACAGCTTTAGTTGTAATAGTGGAATGTTCCTTCTTCCTTTTTTCGAGCCAAAAAGCGAGACTGGCTGACGCTGCCAGAGGTCACTCCGGTGGACTTGTGGGGTCCCCGGCCCTAATGTGAGGCTGAAGCCCCGATGAGCCCCTTTTCAGGCCCTGCCATGTATTACGTCGGCCGCCCTAAGTGAAGGCAGGCACGACGAGGGCCTGAGGGCCCCTATTTTGGTCACCACGCAACTCAAGGAAATTCAGGCAGTTGCACAGCGCCAGTTGGTTGAGAAAATCCAGGCCCTGGGCCGCCTTTGTGAATGTATGGAATTCAGGCCCTGGGCTGGGTACGGGTACTGGGCCAAACACAGGCCGTTGACAGTTGGGTGAGAGCAACCACTACAGGCCCAAGGCCTGAGTTGTGTAGATTGGGCCTCAGCCTACCGGGGCCTACCGGAAGCTTCTTGGGAAAGGCCCAGCGCAGCCTGGGACAAGCAAGCAGGCAGGCCACTTCCATATAGCGAAGGGCCTGCCTCCGTATTGGGCATTCGGGTGCTGGCTGCATGCTGCGCAATTTGCTGGCCAGCGCTCACGCGCTCACGGGCGAGCAGGGAAGGAGCAGGCAGCCATAGCCGAGCTGCGCTGCTGTGAGCTGGGTGTGGCGCAGGGTGGTCCTTGGGTGCATGTGGCACCTGTGTGTTGGGGAACGAGGTTGTGAGTGAAGCGAGAGACATACCTAGTGCTGGAAGCGTGCGGCATTGGCCGCTATCTGCTCGTACTTCGGTGAAGCTGTTGTCGTCATCTTCGGCATTGTAGTATAGGCTAGATAGGATCTGCCATCTGTAGTCTGGGCGCCGAGCGCCAGATAGGATATCAACATTGGTTCTTCGTTGATGATTCAGCATTGTCAATTATGAACTCTTGGTGTGTTGTTATTTGGCAAAACTCGTGATGCAATTTTGCTGTTGGTTCGAGGTCACGACTATCTGGTCTCATATGTATGATGCTGTTTGATTGTTGAAGTTCGCTATTGCTCATCTTCCTTGCAATTTGGTATCGGAGCTGTGGTACGTTGTGCTCATCTGGTGCTTGTCTTCTGCCTTATGCGGTACATACATACGGTCTGCTTGGTGAGTGTGGCCGTAGGTGGTGTGTAGTGAGGAGGGCGGAGACAAGATTAGGCGACCCAGGAGGTGAGGGGATCGCCTGGAAGGCTACGGTGCGTATATTGGGTGTTCGCAGTGTGATGAGAACTATCTGATGGCTGATTGATGCTGAGGTGGAACGGCGAGACAATGCTGGTTGTGCCGATGCAGTGACTGGTCATCGCAATCGCCATCAGGTCATCTGGTGAGAATATCTGTGGTTGGGGGCAGCTATAATGAGGTACGTTGCTCTTAACCTTATCTACCCTCTTCATCACTTCTTACCGTGAGGTTGTGAGTTCCATCTTGAGAGTCCTCTCATGAGAGGTGTCGTGCGCGCCCAACCTTGAGAGTGGGCATACTTCCCGTGGAGCATCTGGAAGTAGAGGGTGGTGCTTTCTGAAGGGCCCTGGACGGAGCACTGGGTCACGGTCACCATGCCAACCAACCGGGAGTAGAGCACGCATGCTTTGCTGCTTTGTCCTTGTCTGCTTGCTGCGCTCATAGAACGGGTACTGAAGAGCAGGCCAGCTCTATGGGGAGACGAGTACCGGGCGTCTATAAATAAACACCGGCAGGGGAAACCACTGGCTGTGATCGTCGTCCTGCTGCGACGTAAAATCATTCCTGATGTCACTTGGGGGCGGACGTTAAATTGCCTCTTGATCAGCCAGTTGGTGTAAGGCTCGCTGCATGCGAGGATAAACAAGGTGTGCAGGGCTGGCCAGCTCAGCAGCTACTCGGGGCACAGGGGTGGGCCGTGTGCACACCTTTAGTCACGCACGCTACCGGATCGCTCAGGGACGCTGACGTTAAGTGACACTCAAGTGGGATTGGGGGAAAGGGTAGATTACAGGTGATAAGTTTGAGAAAGATGCCATGTTGTGAACAGACCCAACAAATAACATTATTTTTATTTTGATTAGTTAGATGTACAGCCATTGACATCTGACAGACAGCATAGTTTAGAACTGTTTTTTGTTCATTGTGCTTCTGTTTGCGGACTAATCAGAGTAGAGTACTGTTATGTTTAGAACTGTTTATTGTTCATTGTGCTTCTGTTTGCGGACTAATCAAAGTAGAGTCGTGTTATTTGTAGGAATTTGCACTATATCTGCTCTAAACAGTCACCAATTAATTTAAATTGGTCTGGTCATTACGCTGCGGGAGGTACCTAGAGTATCCAAGTGCAGATTGTGCCCAGTACTGTAGCTTATGAGCGATGGGGAGGAACAACAACTGGACAACCGGATCTTGCGATCAGCAAGACACCCAGTTGCTCATCTGGCATTAGGACCAGAGGGCGACAGATACCTGTTCCGCCAGCGAAGGGAGAGGCTGCAGCAGCAGCAGAGAGCTAGGGACGCAGAAGCCAGCAGAGCTTTCGCAAGTGAGGCCGCTGCTTCAGCAGCCATCGCTAGCGCTGCACAGCAATCCTCTCAGGCTAGCAGTTCAGGAACTGTAGGGTCAACTGCAGCGCAGACCCAGAGTCAGTCGGCTGGCGTAATGGCAAGCCAGTCAAATGTGTTGTCACCCGAGGAGATCGCCATACAGCAGGCTGCCCTGCAAGAGGCACAGCTACAGAAGGCTTTAGGAGAGATAAAGGCGGAGAGAGAGAATGATTAGAAGAGTAGCCAGGATGCAGCGAAGAGAAGCCGACGTTAAGCAGGAAATGGATCTGACCAATATGGATGTGGATGTGAGGGTAGTTCGGACGGCCCTGCTAGGAGTCATAGAGACGCAGGACCATCAGACTGCCATCCTCCAAGACATTCAGCAGAGTCTAGCCTGGCTGGTTGGACGATTGCAGGCAGCTCCATTACCGTCAGGGCCTGGTGCCTGGCCCATGGTACATCCTCCTCCTTCTGTCCCACCGGTTACTGGGGTATCCCCAGATGTAGCCCCATCATCGGTTGCTATCGTTTCCCTGGGCATGCCGCTATCAGGATGGTTATCAGCAGGACCTAGTGTTCAGATTCCTGTACAGTCAGTGTTATACCAACCTCTATCGCAGGTTGCCATTAGTGGGCAATTTGTTGTCCCGCAGCCTGTGCAGCCGCAGGGGACGCAGCCCCAGCAGCAACAGGTGCAGCAGCCTGTTCCCCAGACCACAGCCAAGTGTGGGACAGATGCAGGGACAAACACAGTGGGTTCCGAAGACAGCAATCGCTGCTCCTAAACCCTTTTCAGGGGACAAGAGCGGCGAAGACCTTGACACGTGGTTGAGGGCTGTGCCGGTCTATGTAAAGTGTAAGTTGACCTTGCCGCACGAGGAAGTGCTTGTGGCTGCATCCTACTTAGAGGGTAGTGCAGCAAGATGGTTGAGTGGATTAGTGCAGCTGCAGGGATACGGTCATGACTTCCTCGCTTGGGCAGCCAGCCAAAAGCTGGATGAGTGGAGGAGAGGTGGCATGATACTCAGGAGACTCAAAAGGCCACTGACGCAATCCTGACATTGAGCGCTCGTTCGTTCAAGTCAGTTAGGGAGGCCACAGACGCAGTAGAGCGTCTGATCAGTGTCCCTGGGGTTCGCTATGATCCCCAAGTCTTACTTACAACTTACCTGAGGTGTCTGCCGATGCCCATCAGGAATCAGTTGGCAGTAGAGGCTAACATCAATGTGCACAACTTTCCTTCGTTCAGCAAGAAGGCCCTAGACCTTGAAGCAAAGATAGGGCATGGACACAACCCATCGACGGACGGTAGGAAAAAGACACTGCCTCCCAACTGGAAGGCAAAGGGGCGCATCATGTTAGTCGACAACGACGGTTCAACCATCGAGTTGGACAACGACACCCAGTTGGGAGCTGGTTCAGAGGCAGGCAGCGTAGAGGCTTCAGAGGGTGGAGTAGTCGCTGCCGTAAATCAACAAAAAGGTAAGGGGACTGGTAGACGCCGAGGAGACTCCCGGTCCAGGAGTCAAGTTGACCCCAATGCTCCTCCATGGGAGAAAGCGGGTCTCACAAAGGACGTGTGGAGAGACCGGTATACCCGGCAAGCTTGTATTCGGTGTGGTCAATATGGCAATAACCAATTAAAGTGTCGAAACAAAAAGGTTACCGAGAAGATTCTGCCTACTATGGGGCAGGCGGTAGGATCCTCCGCTTCCGTTGGTAGCAATGTTGCCAGTACTTCAAGCACTGCTCCGGGAAACACGTCGGGCCAGTAGGAATAATAGTTCCTGCTAGGGTCGAGGTGGTGGATACACCCTCACCATCTCGAGAGATGGCCCAAGCTACGGACTCCCCCGTCGTCCTGCAAACACATCCGGACCCATCAACCCTCTGTTCGATGAATGTGTTCGAGTCCTTAGAGGAGCTAGAGGAAGGGTGGTCTAGATTAAACTCACTAGCTTCTTGGACGGCAATAGTTAAAGCTCCTAAGGCTGAGATGTTCGTCAGTGAGGTAGTCATTGGCGGTCACAAGACCGGGGCCTATCATGACACTTGCTCGACGAGGAATTTCATTAGTCGCGCATGCGTTGAGAGGCTGCGCTTACATGGGCGAGTGCAGCGCCTGAGTCGACCTGTGGAGTCGACCTGTGCCAACAAACAGCGCATGATAGTTAACGACTACCTTCAGGACGTTGAGTGTCTGTTCCCGTACGCGGGAGGGGAATTGAGGCATCGTGTCTCATTCCTGGTGAGCGACGATCTCGCAATGGACATCTTGTTAGGTATGTACTACCTCTCGGTTGCACAGCTACAGTTCGACTAGGATCGAAAAGTGGTCAAACACACTTTGCCAGGTCGAGGGACCGCCACATTGCACAAGTTCAAAGCTAGTAGTCTGATCGAGTCCCATGGATGCATGTGTGCGGCCGCGTTCTATAACTACAGTAAGTAAAACCAGGAGGAGGGTATGTATCTAGTTTACGTCTCTGCTGCAGGCGAGCTGGTGAAAATGTCGCCGGAGATAGAGGGAGTAGTTCCCAAATACCCTGATCTATTTGAAGAGCCAACAGGGGTTGTTGAGAGGGAGGTCGTCCACGCTATAGAGATTATCCCAGGGTCTAGCATCCCGAAGGGTAGGATCTATAGGATGTCTCCAGGCGAGCTTGATGAGCTTCGCCACCAACTCAAGGAACTCATAGAGAAGGGTTGGTTCCGGCCGAGTGTCTCTCCTTATGGGTCTCATGTCCTATTTGTTCCTAAGAAGGGAGGCACTTTGAGGATGTGCATTGATTATAAGGGCCCCAATGCCATCACAGTGAAAAACAGGGAGCCCCTACCGCGCATCGACAATTTGCTTGATAGAGTGCGAGGGTGTCGGTACTTCAGTAAGATAAATCTGAAGTCCGGGTACCATCAGATTGCAATCCGGCCTGAGGATCAGCACAAAACCGCCTTTCAGACCAGGCACGGTCTGTACGAGTTTGTGGTGATGCCATTTGGCCTGTGCAATGCTCCTGGCACCTTTCAGCACGCTATGAATCAGATTTTTCATGACTACTTAGACAAGTTTGTTATCGTGTACCTCGATGACATACTTATCTTTAGTAGGACTGTCGAGGAGCACGAGGCACATCTAGATGAAGTCCTCGGTCTCCTTCCTCAGCACAAGTTCAAGATTAACGATGAGACGTGCGAATTTGGCCGCACCCGTATCTTGTACTTGGGTCATGAGATTTCCGCGAAAGGGTTGAAGCCCGATGACACGAAGGTGGCCAGCATTCGTGATTGGCCACGACCTCAGTCTGTGACTAACATGAGATCTTTCTTAGGGATGGAAGGCTACTATCGGACTTTCGTTAAGAACTATAGCATAGTCGCTGCCCATTTGACTGATCTGACCCGCCTTGACACCCCATGGGAGTGGACACACAAGTGGGAGGCTGCTTTCAGACATCTGAAGCATGTGTTGACGCACTATGAGGTCTTGAAACTTCCCGATCCTGACAAGCCATTTGTAGTAACCACCAATGCCAGCCAATTTGGCGTTGGCGCCGTGATTGCGCAGTAGGAGGGGCCAAAGTTGAGGCCAGTCGAGTACATGTCCAAGAAAATGTCGTCTCAGAAGTTGGCAAAGTCCACCTATGAGAAGGAACTCTATGCGGTGTACAAGGCTCTGACCCATTGGAGGCATCATCTCCTTGGGAGGTTCTTCATCCTCAGAACTGATCATCAAACTCTGAGATGGATGAGAACTCGGCCGGTGCTTTCCGACGCTTTGAAGCGTTGGATCAAAGTCAATGAGCAGTACGACTTTGACCCGCAGTATCTGAAAGGGGAGTACAACAAGGTTGTTGATGCCTTGTCGCGTAGACCTGATTTCTCAAGTGCGCTGATAACTGAGTTCGATCTGACGAACGATGTGACTCGCTCTTTGGTGGAAGCCTATCGCAAGGACCAGTTTTATTTCTGAGATCATACGCAGACTAGAGGCGAAGGACAAAAAGACTTCTGCCGAGTTTTAGTTGGTCAACGGCTTGCTGTTCCTTGAGAAGGCAGGGAATAAACGATTGTGTGTTCCAAATAGAGAGTCTTTGCATAATTTGTTTTTAGGTGAGTGACATAATGCCACCGGCCATTTTGGGTACAAGACCTTAGCGAATTTATTGCAGCGGTTTTGGTGGCCCACGATGATGCGAGATGCCCAGCTGTACGTGGAGACATGTCAGGTATGTCAAAAGGACAAGCCACGTACTCAGGCTCCTCTTGGCCTCCTGAAGCCCCTTTCGATTTCGGAAAGGCCTGGTGAGAGCCTGTCCATTGACTTCATGGATACGCTGGTCACCAGCAAGAGTGGGATGAGACACATCTTCGTCATCGTGGATAGATTTACAAGTATGCTAGATTAGTAGCCATGTCGGAGACTGCGAAGACCGAATACGTCATCGGATTGTTTAAAGAGAATTGGGTCAGGGATTTTGGTTTGCCCAAATCCATCGTAAGTGACAGGGATGTCCGATTCACTAGTGAGTTGTGGAAGGCCGCTGCTGCGGAGCAAAGAACCCAATTGCAGATGACTTCTGGGAATCACCCAGAGGCCAACGGCCAGGCCGACCAACTGAACCGCGCTGTACAACATCTGTTGAGGCATTACATCAAGCCCAACCAGGTGGACTGGGATGAGAAGCATGCTCTCATCGCCAGCCTGTACAACAACGTTGTACACAGCGCTACCGGTGTGAGCCCAAACAACTTACTATTGACTTTCAAGCCTAGGCTGACTTCCTTCTTCCTGAGAATTAGTCAACTGTTGCACCAGTTACCTTAGAATAAGCCTATCGATATGAACAGAAGATGCAGCAGGTGGTAGAACAGATGCAGAAGGCACAGGCGGCAATGATAGAGTCTGAGAATAAACACCGCCGCCCTTCTACATTTCAGGTTGGGGACAAAGTTTGGATTAAGTCCTTAGAAAAGGGACAGGAGTACGGGATTTGCCGCAAACTTATTCCTCAGTACTTTGGGCCTTGGAAAGTCTTAGATGTTGTCGGGACTGATCCGGATGGGCCATCTTACGTAGTCCGAATCCCTGGTCAACTTCGCACTTACCCTATCTTTCACGCCTCTAAACTTGCACCTTTCAAGAAAACAGATGAGTCTCCTTCTCGTCGCGCAATGCTGCCCCCAACCATGAATGGAGAAGTGGACATTGATGATATCGTGGATCACAGGGACCTGCCAGTTCCCAGACCCACAGGCAGGGGACGTCCTCCGAAACCGAAGCTGCAGGACCCCGTTCAGTTCCAACATCATACTGATCCAAAGGAGGACCGCTGGTTCACACGGGAGGAACTTATGCAGACCGCTCCTCAAGTCGTAGCACACTACGAGAAATCTCTGCAGAAGGGAAAGCGCTAGGTTATCGAAGACTGAACTTCTCAGAGGACTATCGAAGTTATGGAGGGATGCGAGATTGAAGCCCCGATGAGCCCCGTTTCAGGCCCTGCCATGTATTACGTCGGCCGCCCTAAGTGAAGGCAGGCACGACGAGGGCCTTAGGGTCCCTATTTTGGTCACCACACAACTCAAGGAAATTCAGGCAGTTGCACAGCGCCAGTTGGTTGAGAAAATCCAGGCCCTGGGGCGCCTTTGTGAATGTATGGAATGCAGGCCCTGGGCTGGGTACGAGTATTGGGCCAAACACAACCCGTTGATAGTTGGGTGCGAGCAACCACTGCAGGCCCAAGGCCTGAGTTGTGTAGACTGGGCCTCAGCCTACCGGGGCCTACCGGAAGCTTCTTGGGAAAGGCCCAGCGCAGCCTGGGACAAGCAAGCTGGCAGGCCACTTCCATATAGCAAAGGGTCTGCCTCCGTATTGGGCATTCCGGTGTTGGTTGCATGCTGCGCAAGCGCTGCTGCGCTATTTGCTGGCCACCGGTCACACGCTCATGGGCGAGCAGGGAAGTGGCAAGTAGCCATAGCCGAGTTGCGCTGCTGTGAGCTGGGTGTGGTGCAGGGTGGTCCTTGGGTGCATGTGGCATTTGTGTGTTGGGGAACGAGGTTGTGAGTGAAGCGAGAGACACACCTGGTGCTGGAAGCGTGCGGCATTGGCCGCTATCTGCTCGTACTTCGGTGAAGTTGCTGTCTTCATCTTCGGCATTGTAGTATAGGCTAGATAGGATCTGACATCTGTAGTCTGGGCGCCGAGCGCCAGATAGGATATCAACATTGGTTCTTCGTTGATGATGATGATGGGACTATTTCAGCATTGTCAATTATGAACTCTTGGTGTGTTCTTATTTCGTGAAACTCGTGATTCAATTCTGTTCTTGCTTCGAGGTCACGACTATCTGATGTTGTTTGATTGTTGAAGTTCGCTATAGCTCATATGAATGACGGGTCTATACCCATTGCCATCATCTTGCTGTAAAACAGTGCCTATACCATACTGACTTGCGTCGGTGGTGACGACAAAAGGTAAAGACGGATCGGCTACCCTGAGGACTGGATACTCTATCAAGGCCCGCTTTAACTTGTTCGGGACCGACGTACAGTCTCTACTCCACTCCCAGATTGCTTCTTTCCTTAACAACCTGCGAAGGGGTGCAGCGATGGTAGAAACGTTCCTTACAAACTTCTTATAGTAGTTGGCTAAGCCTAGAAAAAACCGCAACTCTGTCAGCTTCTACAGCGCTTTTCTGCTAATATAACTACGAGTGGCCCCTCTATCTATCAAGGCCCCTACTCGTCCTCTAAAAATTTCTACATCTATTAAGGCTAGTCCTTTCTCATCTTCATCATCTTTTGCCACACCTGTGAGGGAAGTGCCTAGACAGACTGTAACACAAGCAATCGCTCGACAGCTATCTGGGCACTGGCCAGCAACCTCTGCCATAGACGCATATGGTTTGGGAGTTTCTATGTGGTGCGCCGACTCTTCTCGACATGGTCTAGGGGTAAGGGCAGTTGCAACCCCTACCGGCGGTTGCCTTTTGCTGCCTATGCAGCAAACCAGGTGTCTCTATACTTAGAGCAATATTTAATAATATGGCCAGGGTCATTGGAATAGATACATTGATCCTGATCTACCCTCCTCTGCCAAACTGTCTGCTCTAGGCCCAGATCTTCCCAGGGGCTGCCCTGCGGCAAGCCAGGGTGCCATCCACCCCTCCTGGGAGACGACCGAGTTAAACGAGAGCCATTTTGCGGCGGACATTGACCCCTACCTCCCGCTTGGCGGCCTCCTCTGCCACCAACCCCCTGATCACTCTGTCCTCGACCACCAGAAGTCTGCCCCCATTGGCCCCTGCCTCCTCCTTTACCTTGCGGTCTCCCTCCAGCTGCAACAGCAGCGTAAGTCCTCCCCTGACTATCGCCACTGTCATCCTCCTCCACTCCCCACTCTATCTAGTTGTAAGGGACCTGTTCCATACCACCCTCGTCTAATGTAAGGATCAGGTGATCCTTGCCCTTGACCTGACCCAAGATGGTACGGCCTTTCCACTTCTTACCCTTTTCAAAAAGTGGGAACTGGCATGGACTGCGCATCAAATGCTATCACTTCCCTACTTAGGGTATCGTAGGTCATGGTAGACTCCCTACTCTTCTCAAAGAAGTGCTCGCACAAAGGTTCGGGCATGGCACGATAAAACAGGTTTACCAAGTTACCCCATGGTCAAGGACAGCGACCAGTTCATCCATTGGCGGGAATGGATGGTCTGCAATTTGTCAGAAGCTCTAACACTTCCCGTGACATCTGCAAACCTCTCGCGCAGCAACTTAAAGAAGTCACTCAGGGGGCAATTAGGGAATACGCGACCATATCATTCTCACACTTAGCAGCACGACAAAGCGATCTAGTGAAGCTAGTTGCTTCACTTTTAAGGACATGGAAGGCAATGAGGACATGATCCTCAGGAGATATCTTTTGAAGTTGTACATAGGAGTTCACGTTTGTTTCCCAATTATCGAAGTTTCCCTCCTTCTTCCCACTGTAGGAATCAGGGAACTTCACGTTCACAGGCTCTCTACGGGGACAAACTTCCTCCTCCCTTAGAGCAGCAAGTTTCGCGCCTTCTATGGCGCCTCTACACAATCGCTCCTTGTTTTCTAGTCTCGCCTTCACGTCTGAACCCACCTGCATTATCATTTCGCGTGTGAACTCTCTAAACCCCAATCGTATGGACGGAAGGCTACATCCTGGCCCCTCGAGAACTGATACTGCTCTTCGTGAGCCCTTGCCAGGAGTTCTATGTTCCTCGCCATGAGCTCCATCTTTCCCTGCAAATCCTCCTTCGGCTCCAGCTGCACCCTTTGCTGCTTCACTAGCTCTAACTCTTTGACTGCCTTACTCGCCTCCTCCATTCTATCTTTCTTCTCCCTGGTCAGACACAACTTCCATTCCAACTTTTTGTCTTCTTCGATCCTTTGAGGATTGAGGGGATCTTCTTCGGCTTCCAACTCCTTAATGATCGCCTCCTGTTCTCCCCTGGAGACATATAATATCGCCTCATCCTCTTCTCTCAGGGACAGATTAGCAACCCATTCAGAAACCTTCTTCTCTAGCCAGGGATCCTCCTTCTTTGTGCCACTCGACTCTCCTCTTTCCCTGATACGTCTTCTTCCACCTTTTTCTCTTCTTCTTTTTCTTCTACCTCCACCGCTTTCAACTTTTCTT